AGGAGGAGGAGGAGGGAGGAGGAAGGGGGAGGAGGAGAGGAGGAGGAGGGAGGAGGGAGGGAGGGGCGAGAGGGAGGGAGGAGGGGAGGATGAGGCAGGAGGAGGAGGAGGAGGAGGAGGGAGAGCGAGGCGAAGGAGGATGGAAGGAGGAGGGGGAGGAACCGGAGGAGGAGAGGAGGAGGAAGGAAGGAGGAGGAAGGAGGATGGAGGAAGGAGGACCGGGTAGGGAGGGGAGGAAGGAAGGAAGGAGGAGAGGAGGAGGACAGAGAGAGGGGAGGAGGAGGAGGAAAAGAGGAGGAAGGAGGTAAAGAGGAGGAAAGGAGGAGGAGGAGGAGGACAGGAGGAGGAGGAGAACGAACGAGGAGGCGGGGAGAGGGAGAAAGAACAGGAGAGAGAGAAAAACGTAGAGAACCAGCGCATCCTGACCATCTGACTGAATGAGTTAGTGATGGCCCCTTCATTGGCCGCTGTTGCTGCTTGGAACCCCAACCGACATCTACGCCTCTCGAACAAACATATCAAGAGTGATGTGGGCAGCGAAGACTACAGGGCCATGCTTCCTCTGTTTGGAATGGCGTCGCTTCTTGAGGCAGTTGAGGGCTGCCTGCTTATTGTTGCTGGAACTGCGGCGAAGACAGGCCATATCGAAGCCTCTCGTCATGAAGTCTGAGTACACGCCGCAATCCCAGCAAACCATGACACAGCTCTCTCTATCGAGTCGATCGAGAACGTGTGTGTCAGGGCCGTTGCGATTCTCGGAGGGACGAACAAAAAGGACAGGCAGCAACCTGGACACTTCTCGTCATCTCGTCTTGCTTTTAGAAGCGGGAGCAGCCGCACGTGTGCGACACACAGCTCGCACATCCAAATTGTTTGAAACCAGACCCACTTGTGTGACCGTCTAGGGGGTTGTCCTCCTTCTCCTCCTCCTCCTCCTCCTCCTCCTCCTCCTCCTCCTCCTCCTTCCCCCTGGAGCAGACCGCTGACGGGGGAAGAGGAGTTGGGGCAGGTCCTTCGTCTCCCGCACGGGGCTGCACGGCAGGCTTCGAACCGATTTTCCCCATGGGCTTTGCCTCCAGGAAGGGGGGGGTGCTAGCGTGGGCCAGTGGGACAACCCTTGGGCACGAAACCGCAGAAACCTACCTACGAACTCGCCATCTCGCTTGTAATCCACTGCTTCTCTTTCAGACGCCCCCCCCCCCTGGCCATGAGCCGCTCTGGGAATCCAAGGGGGGGCGTCCAAATTCTATTGATCTTTACTTTTGCAGAGTTGGGGCAGGGTTCCCTCGGAGTGCCGATTTTGGCACGCGGCTCCAACTCAGCATCGTGCCATTGTTACTGAGACCAGCCCGAGAGTAGGTCTCGAGGGTCCCGAGGTGGGAGATGGGCTGCGCACGTGGCAAGATGTTCGGCGGCGGGGGAGGGCGGCGGCAGCAGCTGGCCAGCCGAACCCGAGAGGTGCGCCGCGCAGTTCTCCTGCTGCGTCTGGCGCGCGGACGGCCTAGCCCGTCTGGCGCCGGTGCTCAGAGCGTGAGTCACCGACCCCGCTTTTGCTTCCAGGCAAAACCGAGTCATGCCACGCGCCTCCTCGTCCAGCGGCCTGGCCAGTGCAGGCCGTAGCAAGGCATCGCTGGGTACCTTTTGGAAGCGAGGGTGGTCCAAAGCGAGGCAGGTTCGTTCGCCCCCCAAGTGCTGCGGGCCGTGCTTGACGAGGGCGGCCGTCCACGGACGCTTCCACCACCGGAGCAGTTGCGGGAGAGACCCCATCCCTGGACCCCAAAGCCACAATCCAGGGCCACTCCTCCAGGCCGAGTGAGACCAGGGGGGGTGGGGGCTCGACCCGAAGTCCGCGAGCCAGTGGAGCTGCGTGAGGAGACCCCTGTAGATAAGTTCTGCTTCCAGGCGCTCACTCCCTGAGGTTGAGGATGTGGGTGCACACGAACCTGTGCTGCATGTCGTCGCGGTTGTGTCCACCTTTACATGGCGTGTCTATGTCATCTCCAGCTGAGGCTCGCCTGGTCCTGGTCCAGAGGCAGTGAGTGAGGTAGGAGAGGAGACAGCTTCGCTCGTGCATCCAAAGCGTGCTGTCAGCCAGGACGCCATTGGCCGCCGAGAGATCGAGCCAATCCTCTGGCATGCTCATCTTGGCGGCTGTCTGGCGCTCGAGCATCTCCCTCCGGGCTTCCCCAGGTTGCTGCCGCGGGCGAAGTCGACGGTGGCGTAAGTACTTACAAGGCTTGAAGAGGCTTCGAACTCGAAGGGGCTCTTCAGGGTCCAGGATCTGTTCTTCGGGCTGAGGATGGTGGCCCCTTATCCGGCCTCTGCAATCAGTCCAACGCTCGGGGGGCTTCTGGAGGACCCTGTTGAGCATGTTTTTGAAATCCACGCGGTCAAGGTCAAAACTGTGCCGCTGCGTGCTGAGCCTCCAGACCAGCAAGCTGCCATAACTAGGAGGAGCAAGGGCAGGCTTCCGTATGGGGTCCCCCAGGAGGCACAAGCG